TAATGCGATCGATTAGGCTGTCAACGTTCTTGGTTCATGATGAAAATTTTCGCTCCAGATGATAAAACCATGGTTAACCGATAGGTCTGAAAAAGTGATAAAACAAGATTAAATATATTGAAAAATTTTTAAATTATCGATAACCGATATCGCCGATATCGTATCCACACGTTCAAGGATTAACAGCCGAGTTTTATTCGGGATCAGATCTCACGTGGAAAATCCGATATTAAATGTTTTCTTCATGCCAGGCTCTTCCATGTGGATTTTAAAACATATATCAAATTCGCCGTTAAATTTTTTGCTGTGTTCCGCCGATGGCGAGAAGTTGGATCCACAATTCCGTTCGAGAAACTTGGTGAACATTTTTCAAGAACGCCAACGTTCCCCCTTTCTGTTAAATTTCTTTTTGACACCCAGAGAAACACGACAGATCATGGCACATCGTGAGTAATTTGTAATGTGGACGAAATGCGAATGTAACTGCCGGTGTTCCCCGAGGCGCCAAGGCTTTCGCCTTTCCCATTTCCGATCCGGAAGGGGGGGGAATGCTTGCATTTTGGGAGGCGTAACGCCTTCTTGGATGGGAGGCCGTGCCATTCAAGAATTTTCAACCTTCCTTGGAGAGAAACGAGCGAAGGTCCATCACTCACTGTGCTGTTTGGATTACTTCGGGTGGATCGATTTCGCACAATATCCGCCGATACTAATAGTCGATAAAATATCGTTGCATTTCAATAAAAAGTTGATTCGGCAGCTGTACTGTGCAGCCTATCTACAAGCTGCCTGGAGTAGAATAGGTCCATTGAAGCTACAGGGTGTTCGAAAAGTCACTGTGCAGTAGAATTCACATGACGTAGGAGGCCTCACTGTAGCTAGGAATTACAGACAATAAATTATGCAAATTGGGGATGGTGCTAATATTTGATGAAGTGGAAATTCATGTCATCGATGATGCAATACATGTGATACACAGTACAATACAAAATACTGTACACACAACAAAATAACAGAATTATACTGCACAGTGACTTTTCAAACACCCTGTAGAATTGGAAGTAAGCAGTGATTTTTCCTTCTTTTTTTTTTCTCCTACTCTTCCCAGGATCAGTCACTTAAATACCGGTTGATGCAAGATTTCCCCATGCGCGGCGATGAAGGCATTTGTGCAATCATAAATCACCTCTCTCTGGATTCCTTTAGATATTAATGGTTTAGCTGTCCTCCATATAGACCACAATATTGTTCCCTTTTCATGGAGAGAGTCAGTACAGACAAATATCTCCTTTTATTTAATTCTACATCCTGTAAGCAGGACACTTCCTCTTCAAGGTATTGGTACTTTGGAACATGAGCCTGAAAATAGAGACAGTCCTTAGAAAACCATTACCTACGGACACCGCATCCAAGAGGATCGACACCGACTCCAAAAGGCTCGTCAGGGCACAGAATTGCAGAAAACAGAAACTAGAACATATATATTTGCATTGAAAACATGAGGTGCTGAGAATTTCATTCAAAAATGACCATAACAGGAGACTCAGAGAATCGTTCATTTCCAAGCAAAAATGCATTCTCTATCATTTCAAATGTGGAATTTCAAATCAGAAACCTTTCAGAAAAAGGTTCCCAAGTGCGCCTTTTTGAACTTCCTACACACCAACAAATTACTGGTAGGGGGACTGGTGCGATCACGCCCCTCTCGTCCCGTGAAATCGAACTTCACTTTCGCTTTTTCCAGAGAAGACCATTTCATGCTGCACTCCTTCCCTTTCACACACTGTCACTGTATTCCAAGAAGGACTCCTTCATAGCCAGGTCCCAGTAATGCTCCACATTATGCTTCTTGAAGTGTTCTCGCGCAAAGCTCTCCATCGGGCATGCCTTGAAGTTGAAGTCATGGAAGTTCCGTTCCTTCACCGTTCCCTTGGTACAAAATAATATGAGATCCATGTCATTATGACTCTTTATCTTATGTAATTGCATTTAAATTATGTACATATGAAGAAACATTCGCAGGAGAAGCAATAAGAGGTTCCTGAAGAGATCTTGCAAGTTTGCCTAGTAACTGGTAACCAAGTAACCAAGGACATAATTTACATATTGCACTGCCTATTTTTAAACACATTTACAATAAAATCTGTGAGATAAAAGGCAGTTTTTACTTCATTAGAAAATGTACGAAGGACAAAGGCTTCTAAGGTGTAATGATGCAACTCTGGTAGGACTCAAAAATCTCAGTTGAAAAGTACTCACCTGCCAAACCAGGATGCATCGATTGATATTGCTCTGGGGGTCTTCACCAGTGTCTCCCTTACTGGCCTTGGGGACATCCTCCGCCCACCGGATGCGATGCAGCATGAGACGTTGGAACTTCTTCTGCTGCTTGGAACCCCCTTCAACCACAACAATGTTGGTGTCTTTGAACAGCAGCACACAGCCAGTCATGTACAGCTGTTTTGCATTCATCTCCACCTTGAACTTCTTTGCTGGGTTCGATAAGTCCTTCACCCTAGGGATCAAATGCAGATAAATCAATCTGTGTTAACTGATTACAACCCATAACTTCACTTCATTCAAGAAATAGAGGTAAATGCTTAAATCTAAGCTTACAGTGTTCAAATACGTCAATTGTGATTAAATCTCATAAAATGTGATCTATGAGTGCCAACCCTGAATAAAAAGGCACTCAGGACCATGAATTCATTACTGTAGTTGAAATTTTTTCAGAAATGTCCTTGAGGAAATATGAAAGATGGGGAAATAAATAGAATAAATCCTGTGCAAGAATCTGTATCAGACTGAAAACCTTCACCTCGTGAAGTAAATGATGCAACAAATTTTTCAAAGACTCTACAAACCAAAATATCAATAATTGCACTTAAAAATGTTTATAAGAAAAGTGAGCTATATAAAGATGCCACTAGACATAAAATGTCTAGTGACACAAAAGCAATGAAACTGGCAAATACTGAGTGCAGGAATTATCTACTACAAGTTAAATTTTATCAAGAAGAGAATACATCAGTTTCAAGCAATGCTCTTCCTTTAATATAAAAGATACAACAGGGTTTAACACAGCAGAGGCTCATGTTATGCAGCAGTAGTAGTTCGTCAGTGGAGAACGGAGGCCAGCCTCCTCCGTCTCCACTGACAAACCACAACTACTGCATATCATAAGCTGCCAATGGTTTAGCACAGCAGGCGGAATTCCTTCCTCATAGAACCAACCTATAGATGGAGACATGAATACCACTCCCAGTATCATCTTGAAGCTTCTTGGCCCTTTTCTCTCGTCGCTGTTCGGCAGTGAGTTTCCTTGCAGCATTAGCCTCCATGTGAGCTTTCTGCCTCTTGGCCATCTGAGCCCGAACATGTGCCTCCATCTTGGTCGGGTCCTGCACCGCTTGCGTCCCCAGTACTCGCATCAGGTTCGACATCCTCATCTGCTCGCAGGCAAAATACACATTTGTTGACATCTTTACAAGATGGGAATGTTGACAACACAAGACAGTAGATAGCTTATGAATGGGAAAGAGTTTCTCAGCAAGCAAGAAAATCTCTACTACAAAATGAATAGGACAGTTCTTGAAATTAGGGTTAGCATGGAATCCCACACCAATGGTCTTCCCTGGCATACCTTGCTTCATTTAAACAATAAATGCATTTCTGCCGATGATTTCAGTGAATTGAGTTCATGCTCTTGTCCAAGTCTATGGGCTTCATTGTAAAAAAAATTTTTTTTTTGAGAGGTCACAGTAGTAGAAGTAAGATCAAAGCCATCACGTGTTGGCAGTGTCTCCAACTAGATGACTTTTCCATGGTTAGAAATTCTGCTGACCAATAAAAAAATAACAGCTGATCAGGTGGACTGCAGGATGCATGGAACCTGGCTACTATTTTGTCAAAAATGATTTGAATGAACTCTTAGATTGATTTGAATAAAACAGAACTATTGAAACCTTTCTGAATGCCAACAGGAAATTGTGCAACTTGCCACTGTAACTGACATCTACAGGGTGTCAAATAATGGGCACTCTCAAAGTAAAAATTTATTTATCAAAATCTACAAAAGCTGGAAACAAAACTCAAACAGCATATTGAACTATGACTGCAGGAGATTATGGGATAATGTGCTCAATATGGGTGCCCTTGCTTGCAGCCACATGACACAGATGAACGACGAAATTCTAGTCAACAGCTACAAGAGCCTCTTAGGAAAATTTTCAATTTCACTATAAAAGACATCCCGGAGCTCCTTGATGGTTTTTGGGTTTTTTTATGTGAACTGTATGTTAACACGTTGGCGACAATGCGTCCTGATGCCAGGATGCAGATTTCATTTTCAATGAATACCCTCTGGAACTGTTGAGAACGTTCCAGAAGATTATGATTTCGTAATTACTGATAAAAATTCCAACAAATTCAACATTTTAAAAAAACTCGGCAAAAAAAATGTTTTCTGGGACCATGCATCCTGATGGCAGGACGCATTTTTTGACAAAAAAAAAGGCGCGTGGTCCCACGTGGCGGACAAGCAAAAATAGGCAGGTCGTCAACATGTTAAATGCAAGAATTGCATGGGTTGAAGTCTGGCCCATTATTTGACACCCTGTATGTTCTTAAAAGTCCCTCGTTCAAACCACCCTTTGACCTATTTTTTCTCTTCCATAAGCTTAATCCCTTAGGTGCGAACCTTCTCGACCTCTTACGGCATCTCACCATGAAAAGATGCTGCCACCAAAGTGCAGGCAGTGCCTTACAGTGACACTTCCAAGGATCTGACCCCCATCAACTGGGGAAATTCTCAGAAAGATGTTCATCCTGTAGTGGGGACCTATTTTTTATGAGTTATAATTAGTTTTTGCATAGAGAAACTCATTAATATTTTTCAACTTTCAACTAAAATGTAGACTTGAATTTATACTTAACACACTTAAAAAATAGCATAAAATATATACATATCACACCCAAATTAGGAGTGATTCACTACATCAACCCCAGTTAAGGGGTTAAGTAATGAGCATGATCATGTATTCTTAGGCCCCATGATTGGCTCCAGACATACAACATACCACCTTCTGATCACATCACTCATACCATGAAGCACCTGCTTTGGAGATTCTCACCTTGGGCTCTGGAGGGGGTTCAAGGCCAAGTCGAATCTTCTCCTGCTTGTCCTTCCATGTTTCTCTCCGATTTTGTCTTCTCACCTTCTTCCTTTCCTCCTTGGTAAGGAAGACTGGGAGGGCAACTATCTCATCCTTTTCACCTATTCCAGCACAAATAAGTCATACATCATGCATATTCTTCTTCACAGTTGCTTGTAAGCAACCCAAGCAGTTAATGGGACCCATGAAATTTCATCACTCTTTACTCATATATTGACACCTATCAAATGAATATTCAGTCACAAGAAAATGAAATAATTCACTCTAGAAACAATTTTTTCTTCCCCAGCAATTCTTCTAAAGCAATAGGACTAAAGAAGCCTTTCCTACAACTGCAACACTTTTGCAATGGAAAAGAAAAACAGGCAATGAAACATACCTGGTGGTCTGAGAGTGACAGGGTGTTCAATCAAGTTTGTGATGGCTTCAACCTTAACAGAAGATGAGGATTTTTCATCTGGATACCTGTGGAAGAAGAATAAATTTATTGCTTCACATAGACTTGGGCAGCTCCAATATTCACTTCCACAATGGGCTCATTTAAAAAGTGCCAAGGTAAACCCAGGGAAATGGAAGGCTGAATTTAGCTAAACGTAGCTTACAGGATCAATACAGTTAAGGGCCTAGGGTTGGAGGCTAACATGAAGTGATCAAGTGACTCCAGATCCATCATGACAGTCCAGAAAGTTGTCTATTCTAACAGAGACAGGTTGGGTAAATATTGTGGAAGGAAATTTGGGATGGCCAGAAAAAAACCAAAATGGACATCAGATCATCACCAAAAGATAAGTGTCAGAATTTAAAGTAAAACAGGATGTGAGATCTTGGCTAAAAAGAAAAATAATGGCCAAAGATATAACCATGCAAGCTGCATACACCAGACAGCCTTGGATCTTTCTCTAGTACCAGTTCTCTATTCCAAAATGATCAACTTAAATATTGACAACAGCAAAATATGAAACGGATCAGTATAAACTATTTAAGGCAATATAATAGAACACCATTCATTAACAAGGACAGAGAGGGTAATATAGCCTGAGGCTGAAGAGTGCACATGAAGACCTGCTCCTGCTTGAAAGCACTGTGTAGGAAAACCCAAGGTCGTATGTCTGGCTTCTCTGTCCCTTGTCTTGTAGAGGCTGAATGTGGGTGATACGTGTTGGAGGACTGCTGCAACCTTGGTCGTTAAGACCCAGTACCCCTGCTAGGTTGCTGTGTATGATCGTGGAGGTGACCCTCACCAGACTACAACATACAATCAACTGAGGTTCGAGAGGGTGATGGCTTAGGGCCCAATGCACGTCTCACCCACTTCCCATTTTCCGCCTCTTGCCGCGGGCCCTTCTTTGCAAGGGTCAGATAAGTGGTGAAATCATTAGGTTATCAGACGACTCGCTCAATGCAGGGTCTATGGGGGGGGTGTTGGTATAACACTGGTAATTAGTGGTTGAGGAGGACATATGGATAACACAGAGCTTCACCTACATGCATCTAATATCACCTGGCATTTAGTTTCATTGTTGGTCAGAAGGCCCAAGGAAAATGACATACCAATGGTAGAATATCATACTAAAATTGATCAAGCTTTGAGGTTTCATGGAAGAAGGCAGCAAAGACTCACTGCTGAGCGGTGAGGATGCGGGTGTCCCACCATTCGACATCTGGGATGATGTCTAGGACCTTGGCTTGTTCTCCCTTCTTCATTGTTATGGTTGCCAGTCCTGCAGAAGAACTGATGCCTGTCTTCCGGGCCAGCTGTGCTATTTCACTCTGGACTCTCTCCAGTTGTGCCTAGGCAGCCAAGACCAAAGACTTTGAAACAAGAACTCTTCTTCATTAGAGGGAATGAGGGCTGCCAATTCAATTCTCATAAAATGACCAGTTGACAAGTATCCAAAGATGTTATAGAGAAAGCCAAATCAGAGCATGTTTAGGCACAACCTCATTGATTTCTGAGCAGACAATCTTCAGCAGGGAGTGAGGTGAAAGTGGCTTTTGGAAACCTGACCAGCTTTTTTTTTATGATAAGGACAATTCAATTGATGGTTGCAGGAATAGAATAAAAAGAAATGAAAGAAAATACTGAAAGAGTAAGCCAATATCAAATGCATTCCTAGTGCCACTCCAACAACTAATTATTAGGATGGAAAGAACTTTTTCACCATATCCTGAGAGAATGCATAACTGCACTATAATTCCTTAATGACGTAAACAACCGAAAAGAAAAAGATTAAGCCTTCAATTTGCAATCATTCAGCAGCCCAAACAAAAAAAAAGTGGAAATGCCGACCTTCATTCTCATCTGAGCAGCCATCTGCTGAAACTTCCCCTTCTCATGGAAGTGAAAGCCACGGTGCTGCCTGAGGGGGTTCCTCGCTCCGATCCGAGAGTCGTAGAAGGCTGCCTCGGCCGAGGATTCTCCTGACTTGTCGTGGAGTTTCTTGGTGAACTGCTCCCTTTTCTTGGCTCTGATATTGGCCTGAAAAACATCATTATTGATACATGGCACTCTAAGTTCTGATTGGGAAAATAAAAACTAAATTTAAGTGGAGGAGTAGTCTAAGCATAACAAATACAAGTTCCAGTGAATATCAGTAGGCTCACTACTTTTGTTAAATTTATAAGTATGCAGTTTCAATTAATAGCGAGCTGATATTTTTTATGATGTAGATCCAGCATCCATCAAGTGTATCTCATGACTTTTGAAGTTATGCAGGAACAAGCATGTTATGTATTATAATTTCTTCCCAAAGTTCAAAATATTTTGCATTCATTCAGGTGATATGATTTGTAGGTCTAGACTAAAAAGACTACCAGTAGACATGAACCAGTGACATAATATATATCATTCCATCCAATCTTTTATCAACAAAGGTCCTAATTTACCCTTTCATAATAAACTAATATACAGATTAATTATTCTATCACCAAACTATACCTTCAGTTCGGGCATGTGCTGAACGAGGGTAACTTCCTTTCCACTGAGATCTAGTGTCCTGCCATGCTCATCGAGGATCAGTTGCTGAACAGGCTCCTTTGGCATGGCTGGGCCTTCCCCAAATCTTGATTGCAGTTGAGTCTAGGAAAAAAAAGGGGGAATTATACACACAGTGCAGCAAAATATGCACAACTCAGAAGAATAAAAATACAGATGAGTAGAGACACCCTCTGACAACCTTCAGAAACAATTGCACGACACTTTTAAATGAACTCTCTTTGAATTTCTCATTCCTCACATTTTTTTTTAGGCAAAACAAGCTTACTCCAGTCTTCTGAGTTACCCCAAGGTATAGTCAACAAACTAACATCAACTGTCTCCATACCTTCTGAATCTGATCTCTCTTCTGAGCCCTCAGGTTTTGAAGGACCTGAGAGACGCTCGGGAAGGAGGGCGGCACGGGCATGAGGGGAGGCAGGCCCGGGGGCTGGGGGTTCGGGGCCATGCTCAGCTGCTGGGGGGCAGGCGGCAGGATGGTCGGGATGTTGCTCAGGGCCTTCTTGCGCTCCTCGATGATGCGCTGGGCGTTGGCCATCATCTCTCTGATCTGGAATNACAAACTAACATCAACTGTCTCCATACCTTCTGAATCTGATCTCTCTTCTGAGCCCTCAGGTTTTGAAGGACCTGAGAGACGCTCGGGAAGGAGGGCGGCACGGGCATGAGGGGAGGCAGGCCCGGGGGCTGGGGGTTCGGGGCCATGCTCAGCTGCTGGGGGGCGGGGGGCAGGATGGTCGGGATGTTGCTCAGGGCCTTCTTGCGCTCCTCGATGATGCGCTGGGCGTTGGCCATCATCTCTCTGATCTGGAATGAGGGGAAAGGAAAGCTCTCTTTGTAAGCATCTGAGAAGAATCCAGTCTTCTTCAGTGACAGTAGAGATTTAAAAAAACAAACGAAAACCTCAAGTTCCATAAGAAATGAAGAGGCTAATGAATGTTTGAGGTAAGAGTGATCAGATTAACATTAAGGGAATGTAACCAAGTCATGGAACTACAAATAGGTCTATCCCTTTGCTAGACATACCTGCATGGTGGTGAGTTGGCCGGGGCTAGGACGTGGTTCTCCATTTTCATCAGCATCTGGTGCCTCTTCAAATCCCTGCTTCTTGGTTCCAGCCTTGCTGGAACTACCACTAGTTTTGTCTTTCATGTTTTGCTATTTTGTGGGTATGGGTTGATAACTCCTTGATATCACACCTTGCACAAGAGAACAAAATTGGATTTTTTTCACTGAAAATATCCTAGCTATATGTAACATTTTTAGCATAGTTACATCATAGACTAAAAAAAGGCATCACATTAAGAGTCATCAAAATAATCTTAAGTTTTCCTTTCTTTTGAAAGAGGCTTCAACGTTGCCCTTGCCTAACATTCGGTTGAATGTACTCATTTCCCTTCACCAATAAAACTTCAAAAAGCTATTCACTGGCAAATACTCAGTAAAATGACTTGACAGGAAAATGATCACGAACTGCCTCCGTTCATATTGTACACGGAAAATATTTATGATGGGATTGAAAAGTAGCAGGTGTTCATGTTCCAAAACCTTTCTCGTCTTCAATGGGCTGGCCTGAGATGATCATGGGCCTAATTCCAAATTGTCCATTCCAGAAACAGGAAAGAGAACATTCGGCACATGCTTAGGCCTAAGTTCGAAAAGTAATTTATAGTCTAGGCCTACAAAAGAAAACTATCTTGTGAGCAATAGCTCAAAGATCACCTGACCACCAAACCCACGCCTATCATTGCTTGGGGTAAAAGCATCCATTTTGGTCAAATCTTAAATTTCGCACAAATGAATTACAGTATACTGTTTTATATACATATCGATTGAGGAGTTTGATACGCTTAGGCCCAAAGTTAACAAGATTCGGAACGTGCGAGGCACAACACAATTTGACTTGAACGACGCATCCAAAACGCCATATTGGATGCAACTGTATCTCGCAACTCCCGCTAGATGGCTCCAACCTCTCGCACCTTCCCGCCGGGGGACAGCGGAGGATCTCATTCAGGCGTTTGGATGGCGTGGTGCGTCTTCGCCTTTGCCACTCGATGCAAGCGGAAGAACAAGGGGGAAATCATCTGGAGTTGCAATCGTTGGAAGATGGTCGCCGTTTGAGCGAAGAGGATTGCGAGTGGCCTCGCTTTGCTCATGCATCAGGAAGACGAAGGAAAAAGGTCGATGCACGTGAACAGCGTCGGTGTCGCGAAGTGAGCATAGAGGAAATAGAATCACATCCGGAGTTCTTTTCATGCTAACAAGTCCTTCCTACGTAGAGGGGTTCCCATGCGATAGTTGTGCTTCTATCTCACAAGTACCCCAGATAGTCTAATCCTCGTCATCTCTCTGTAGTACTTAAAAAGTATTGTAGTACATATATGGTACTGATTTGGTCAACATTTCCTACTAGAGACAAATTCATGTTAACGTTTTAATTTAGAACTTTCGCCAATTAGGACCAGGATATGAAGGCCAGCGCTCTATGGACACATCAGTGGAGTGAGGATTTCCATTTTCTTCTTCAGCAGGGTGCTCCAATGTGATCATATCATCTTCTGGAATAAAGATCCACAATCTGCGTGCCACATTCAGCACGCAAAGTGCCTCAAAAACCATCCAGGTTCTGCACTGCTGCCATACTACATTAGAAGTGACTTAAATCGCTAAGGCATGATAGCCACCTTCCTTCAAACCATCTTTTTATCCTTCCTCTGTATCAGGCTTGCCGAAATCCCCTTATAATGCTTCCGTTGGATTACGCTTTCACAACCCTTCCTCCTGTTTTATTTAGCGGGTGAACCCATGTCACCATGGTGTTGCTGAATGAACCGTCTGCCAGAAAGATACAAAGTTCATCGAGAATCGTGGCGAAGAGTCTGAAGGATATTCCTCTTTCTTCCTTCTAGTCCCATCCCGACGGCTGATGCCAGCGGGAGTGCTTCGCCGGCCCCGGGATGTCAGCCCGACACCTTTCCGCTCACTTTTTTGAGTTCAATCTCTCTCTCTTCTCCAATAATTTGTGCCTCCAGAATAAATCCCGACGTGCGATAACCCGGACAAATTATGTTGTGATTCCCACCACCGGTAAAGTTTAACGCAGGAAACCATAACTATACCAATGGACACGCTGCTCAGATGCTTAAAATGAGCGTCATTCACTCAACCAGGATTCTCGACATAGGGAGTGTCCCAGAATTGAAAGAACTCAGGGTTTATCGTACCCAGGCCACTGCTACCTTAGCCTGACGTATCAGGCCTACAAAACATGCCGTTCTAGACCGTAGTGGCTTTGCTTGCCCTTTGGGCAAGTCGAAAGGGTTTTCTCTCGCCTTTGGTGCTTCCACCTTTAAAATAATTGTGTTTAAGAAAATATTCCTTACGTCACGTCACTCGTAACGTCAAGCATGAGACTGCCGTTTCTATTAGCTTTTATGTCAATACGGTCGAATGTGTTTGAGCTCCTCCACAAACTCACCATTTTGACAAAGCCTTTGAGAACAGTCTTCTCGTCTTCACTTTGGCCCTCGGTCTCTAGGAAGGAAAAGAAAGCGTCATTCCCCGAGTCGTCTCGAAATTTCTTGGCTATCTTCTGCTCCTTCTCGTCCAACTTCCCCAATGAGCTCATTAGAAGATTTGTTTTTCTTTCATTATCTTTCAAACGTTCCATCTTCACTACTGACAAGGTTCAACCATCGCACTGCAACGACCAAGGCCTTCGAACCCCAACGGTTCCCTAAAGACAACTTATTTACATTTATCCTCAATGGATTTAAATCGACCACCAGTGCCGCTTTGGAACGCCTTCCGGGATTTCAGTGGTGAGGATGTTACGATCATATCGTTCTTTCCAGCGTTCCAGCTGTCCAGCCAGATCAGCGAGCTCCCTGCTCAAATCGAGATGGAGTTACTGTGGGAAAAGTTCAACGAAATATTCAATCCCGGATCTCACTTCGCAAATAGCAATGGAGTCACAGTTGCCCCAGTAACTGATGTGCAAATCACCATATGTTTCAATGAATACTTTCAGTGGCAAAGTATACTCTTCACAGAGTTTACATATTTCCTTGATGAGATCTTGTTGCTCCTGGTGCAAATCGCGGAAGTCTTTCAATGCTTTTTGCTGATTTGTGCCACAGGACAAACCAAAGTTAAAGATTCCCGTGAAGAACGATTGTATCGCTTCCTCTCGGATTTTTCCCCTCGCCATTTTGCACTTCAGGAACAACTAGCGTACTCTTCTTAATGGTTCGGTCAAGTTAACTGGTGGTTGTTTAGTCATGTAAGTGAGATGGCCTCTTTTCAAGACTAAACAATTGAAATGGCTTTGGCTGCACACTTAGGTCAGAAGTATTTCAATATTGTATGGGTAATCCAATAAAAAAAATTCATTCGAAATTATCTATTCCAGCAGTAGAAATTCAACCAAATCAGATGCCAACTCTTTTAGCTTTCGACTGCATGTCGTGCTAAACAGCTTATAGTTTTTTTTTCCCTTTTATACATTCCCTTTTGGACTTTCAGGCGACTCCGACATCTTCGGACACTCTCCATGTCTTCGATTCCACTGAGAAAATATGAATCTCACTTGGAAAATCTGTAGCATACATGTTGCACGTTCTGTTGTCTTCCCGTTTCCCTGCCTGGGAAACGGGAAGGGCCTGGGTTTTGTGAGTTTACGTTTTCCGACGACGACCGGACGAAGTTTAACATTTAAAAAGGAGTTGGATGGTGGATATGTGGCTGTGGGAGATTCTCCCAGAGTCTGAGGCCAATGGAAAGGCGGATCTGTACTTGAAATAGTACTGTAGATTTTGACGCCACTCGTACACGACTGGCTCAGTTGCTGGGTTGGTTGCTGAGGTCGGTTGCTGGTCTCAGTTGCCATGGAAATGCGTGTTAAGAATGTATGCCCATACGGAAATATCCTATATGATTCTTAGAAGAACCAATAGATTTCCTATAAAACGTATGAGATTCCTATAGGAAACCTATAAGGATATAGCCGTCCCATAGGAGACCCTTCAGATCTCTTATAGGATCTTATAGGGTTCTACACTTAACCAATAGGAACTTGGCCCTCCTATAGGACAGCGTTTCGTTTTCTTATAGGATCCTGGAAGTTCCTATAGGTAGCCCATGGGAACTTGGGCTTCCTGTAGGGCACCCTCTGGATTTCTTGTTGGAACTATGATATTTACGAACACGATTCATAAAAGCTTATAGGAAATCCATATTTGACCTCAGAGCAATGTACACTATCGTACTAAGAACTATAATGAAAGATACTTGATCCATGTCATTATATGGATATGTGATCAGCTGATGCAGGATACTGCATGAGAGGCACCGGCTAGCAAGCTGGTGGCATCTAGAGGTCATAAATATATTAATACAGTTACTACATATTACATACCACTGCCTAGGGCTGTCTTCGGGCAAAACATCTTGTCCGAAAACAGATCTCCTAAACCGTGTCATTGTCAAGATGTTGGCAGGAATAGAGGTCGTACAGACACATCTGGTCGTACAGACACACAATTTCAACGACTGGCTTGGGTAGACCCTTGACTACAAATCTTGATCCATAAAATATTTCGTGAATGGAGCCGATTTCGAGATTGAGAAGGGGAAAATGAAAGAGTCTTTGATGGCCCGTAACAGAGTATGGGAGCATGGGCCTCGTTTCCTGAGTCAAGGCTCTCATCTCAGTCGATCAGCCAGAGCTCACGTGGTCTGCTTCTGTGTGGAATTGGGATTGCGTAAGAAAATGGACTTTATTCAGCCACTACGTTCTCGCCCACGCTTCCGATCTTCTCTAAATTAATTTAAAAAAATAAGAACTAGGAAGCGGTTAAATTCAGCATGGGATTTAGTAAAAGGAAGGGTGATAAACTTCGTTGACGATACGGGAATGCTTCGTTTTCGAGAGACTACGCAAATGCGTTTCAGGCATCGACTGGGAGGTGCGGTTCCGTGGGCTGACGGTAGAGAAGCAATGGGGGTGTTCAAGACGTTATTTCAGGGCTTTATGGAGGAATTCATCCCCAAAAAATCCATAAAATCGAACAGGCCACCGGTCTGGTTTACGGGTAAAATCAGAGCTCTCATCAGGGATAAAAAGCGGAAATGGGATGCGTACAAGCGGACGGGAGATAGCACGGACAATGAGGAATATAGGAGGATCACGCGGACGTTGAAGCGGGAAATTAGACCTGAGAGACAGGAGGTCGAGGAACGGCTGACTAGCGATGCTAAGAAGAACCCTAAGGCTTTT